GTACTTTTGTATTGGCAGTTTTTTGCAGCCATGGTTGCTTGTTTCTTCACCAACTTCCTGCTGAGTTCATTCAAAGGGAACCCAAATCATTTGTCAGCACCTGGTCTTGTCCGCTTCAGTGTTTTTAAAGTAAGTCTGTTTAGTAATTTTATCTCACCTTTAATTTTTTTGGCAATTTTAATGAACTGCTAACCAATTTCCAGCTTCTGTTGTTTCAACATTTCTCTCATTTCTCATTGCCTTTCTTTTTATTTATTTCTTTTTTCTTTCAATCTTTTCCAATCATTTTTTTCTAGATTTCTTCCTTTATAAACATTCCTCTATATATATATATATATATATATATATATATATATATATGTATATATATATATATATATATATATATATATATATATATATATATATATGTATATATTCACATGTAGTTGATCTGGTAAGGGTAATAGAAAATACTAAAGAAAGCTCTGTCTTGTTTAAGCAACATTTGCTTTTATTGACAACTTGATGGGGAACCATTTGTTGAATTAAAGAGATTTGACTGTATGTCTGTATATCTTTGGAAATATTCACATCTTGAGACTGTTTGAATGCAATACTGATTCTAATTAGTTTTTGCTTTTTCTTTCAGGATCTCAGTTTTGATCTCATAGAGATCCCAGCTTTCCTCATAATGGCTGTGATAGGTTAGTAATTCTTATTTTAGGGTCTCAGGGAGATATATTGGTTTTGTGTCACTTATTGTCTGTCTGTCTGACCATCCCACTCTCTTTTAAGTAAGATAGATCAATAAACATTGAACCAAACATGACAAGATTTGGCATTTAGATAGATTTGGTAGGTCCCAAAACCTCACTAGGTTTTGGTGACTTATTACCTTATTGCTTTTTGTACAGTTTTATATTCATGCCACAAGGCATAGCATATTCTGCTATGATGCTGTCCATCCAACTGTTCCTTGTTTTGTTTCTGCACAACTTCCGTTCTCCACTATATATCTGACTGTGTAATAAGCAAGGTAGAAGGATATAAATATCAGACACAAAAATTCAAAGGTCAAGATCACATATACTGAAAGAAAGGAATCTTTTTCCACACAATAACTTGAATACCATATACTTTGAGCAAACTCTATAAATGGCTTGAATTTGAGCTAACAAAGTCACATTGATTTTGGGGTAAAAAAAATCATAATCACTGGCTCTAGGAAGAAAAATGATTTCAGCATGATATTTTGAGTTCAATTTTCACCAACTTTGACTAAAGTTTTGTTGCATGGTTTGCATTTGAGACAAGAAAATAGCTATGCATTTTGGGTCCAAAGGTTAAGGTCACAAAGACTAAAAAAAGGGAAAACAATTGGCACAAAAATTACTTAAGTTCTGTACCACTTGCCTTGCCTAATTTGTATTGCCAGCTTACATTTGAAACAAGAAAGACAGCTGATTTTGGGGTTAAGAGGTCAATGATCAAGGTCATAGTGATTAAAGGAAATTAAAATTGTTTGAAGTCCTCAAGCACAAAACATGATTGAACTCTGTGAAAGTCTAGACTTGAGACAAGAAAAGGACCTATAGAATATTGGTTCATAAATAGGTCAGTGGTCAAGGTCACTGAAGTTAAATGAAGAATAATGGTTTTCACATGATGGCTTTATGATTATTTTAGGAAACTTTTTGACAAAACATTGCATGACTTGTAGCATCAACTCTAGGTTTTCATTAAAATACTTCTTGCAATATTTAGATGGTTTTGAAAAAAGTCTATGGGCATGTCTGACTATCAACATATCCTGTTATGAGTCTATGCACAGGTCTGACTATCAACATATCCTGTTATGAGTCTATGCACATGTCTAACTATCAACATATCCTGTTATGAGTCTATGTGCAGATCTGACTATCAACATATCCTGTTATGAGTCTATGTGCAGGTCTGACTATCAAGATATACTGTGACGAGTCTACGTGCAGGTCTGACTATCAACATATCCTGTTATGAGTCTATGCGCAGGTCTGACTATCAACATATCCTGTTATGAGTCTATGCGCAGGTCTGACTATCAACACATCCTGTTATGAGTCTATGCATAGGTCTTACTATCAACATATCCTGTTATGAGTCTATGCGCAGGTCTGACTATCAACATATCCTGTTATGAGTCTATGCTCATAAGATAAGTACCAGAAAAGAGTGAAGACAAGAAGCTTAGGAAAATTTAACAATTATTTATTTCCCTAGAATACAAAGTGAAAAATGGTGAAAAAGAACTTACAGTTTTGCAAATTAAATCCAAAAATTGAAAAAGAAGTCCTAGTAATAAAAAGTCTTAAATGAAACTGAGTTAGAGTCCTGATGAAATCCAGAATTGAAGGAGATGACATCTGTAATATCCTACAAAGTGCAGATGTGTCAACAGTCTCTTGCTGAATCACATAAAATAATATTCCAGTTTTGAATTCAGTATAAATTCCAATGAATGTCATTATCCTGGAATTTTGTCAGAGCACTTCTGTATTTCCAGAAAAAAATAAATCACTTGAATTCAATAATTTGAAGAAAATAAAATTCAGCCCCAACTGGTCACAACATGATACAACTTAACATGTTAAATGATTTAAGCTCAACTGACAAAACCTTTATCAAAACATCAGTTATACAATTAATTAAGATGCAAAACAGATTCCCTGGATGAGGGTAAAAAAAAATTCTTCTGGAAAATATAGAAGCTTGTTATGAATTGGCTAATGACACTTGTCATGTAGTCCAGGTATGACCTTGACTTAATGAATTTTACTCTAAGAAAGATAAAAAAGTTTTAAAAAGTTGTTTACCAAAACTGTCACTGATTTTGGAACAAGAGCATCAACTAGATACTCTGTTTCATTTACCGAATTCTGGACAAGGTCAAGTCCACTAAACAATGTTACATTACAATGGCATGTAATGGAATAAAATAAAAGTTTAAAACTAACAAACAAAAACTTAATTTAAATATACATAACAATCCACACTTTTGTAAAAGAGTTAATATAGACATAGGTGATCTTGTGGTGAACTCAAAGATCATTGCTGTCATTTTTCATTTCAGTTTAGTTTATAAATATGGTGACTTGAACAAAATTATACAAGTGAATTTTGACCAGATATTTTATTTAGCTTCATTCCAGGGAACAACTTGATGATTCACATTTGGACAATGATTTTAAGGTCAAGGATATTGACTTTTAGTTGTACTGGGCTCTAAGCATGATAACACAACAAGTATGAATGGATTTTTATCATTTAGCCCAGTCTGTTGATATGTATATATGTTGAATGCCTTGAAGGATATGACAGCTTAGCTTATGGTTATGTCTTGACATTGTCTGAAATGAGATCATTCATTTTTGTTCCAGTGTATCTGTTTCAAGGTCAGTGCCCATGAATCTGATATCAGTAATATAAAACCTGTTACTAGTTGGTGCTTTTCTAGAGGAAAACACCACTTCTGTATGATGAGAATGAGTCCTTCATTTTGGGGGAACCAGATGATTCTAGAATACTAGATTGCCTTACAGACACCCTAATTGACACATTACCCAAATTTAGTCTGTATACTTACATTGATTCTATTATTGTTTTATTACAGTAATGAATTTTATTTCACAATTTTTTATATGTGGTTTGTGCTATCTTTATCTAAGAAAAGCAGACAGTACATCAGTTTTTCCTCATGATGTGTGTTTAGGTAGTATTCCTTTTTATTATCCTTTTCAGTAGCAATCCTGTCTTCATTTCTTGCCTATCTCTGGTTGGGAGAGGTCAGAAGTTGGGTGAGGTCAGGGGTTGAGTGAGGTCAGGGATCTTGCTGTCTTCATTTCTTGCCTATCTCTGGTTGGGAGAGGTCAGGAGTTGGGTGAGGTCAGGGGTTGAGTGAGGTCAGGGATCTTGCTGTCTTCATGTCTTGCCTATCTTTGGTTGGGTGAGGTTAGGGGTTGGGTGAGGTTAGGGGTTGGGTGAGGACGGGGGTTGGGTGAGGTCAAGGGTTGGGTGAAGTCAGGTATCTTGCTGTCTTCGTTTATATTTACCTAAACTTAATTCAGTTTTAGAAGAGGAGTTTTGTTTTCTCTGGAGTCAAAACTATGGAATTCCATACCACCTTGAGTCAGCTGACTCAATCTAGATTTTTAAAAGCTTTTTAGTCAACATCTATAGGAACAATCATTTTGTTTTAATTCAGGATGACTACTCTTTATAACACAGTACTCACCTATAAATGTTTTACACATGTTCGCTAATATATATATATATATATATGTGTGTGTGTGTGTGTGTGTGTGTGTGTGATAGAGAGAGGGTCATTTGTGTATGCAAATTTGCCACATTTCTATTATACATGTGTGTGTTTATATATATATATATATATATATATATATATATATATATATATATATATATATATATATATATATATATATATATATATATATATATATATATATATATATGTGTGTGTGTGTGTGTGTGTGTGTGTATGTGTGTGTGTTTATGTTTGTGTGTGTGTGTGTGTGTGTGTGTGTGTGTGTGTGTGTGTGTGTGTGTGTGTGTGTACAAATTTGCCACATTTCTATTAGGATCCAAACACTTGCTGAGAATTTAGATTATCACTGGGTTATTTTTAGAAACAGTTATTTTCCCAAAGATTCAAGAAAAGCATTTGAAAAATTGTCATATCATATTGTCTCCCTTTGATTGTAGTATTACTATTTTCTTTAAACATGCAGTGATGTGATGTGATTATGAATTTTTATTATAGCTTTAAAAAATTTTCAGTCATATCGCTGCCATGTCTGCAGTGTGGCAGTTTATAGTGATGTCTAGCACTGGGGCATCATGCTGCAGACATGTAGTATGATGTCCCACCCAGTCACATTGTCCTGACACCAGGCCAACCAGCCGTAACACTAACCTCTTAATGCTAAGCACCAAGCAAGGAAGCTGTTAGTACCATTTTTGTAAGTCTTTGGTATGACTCGACCGGTGATCGAACCCACGACCTCCAACATCCAAGGCAGACACCCTAACCACTAGGCCACAGGAGCGATTTAAACATGCAGTCTTGGTAAGAGTGTCACTGTTAAAAAGACTAATGAAATGAGACTACAGTTATATGACTTATAATTATATTTATGGTCTTAAATGTTTCTTCCTTTGATTTCTTTTTTAGGTGGTCTCATTGGTGCTGCTTTTGTTTTCCTAAACTACAAGCTGACTGTTTTCAGGAAAAAGTAAGCATGCCATTTTTTATTTCTGCTTTATGTTCAACTTTGTTTCTGTGTTGTCAAAATGACAATGCTAGTACAGTAACATCAGATTTATGCTTGTTTACTTGTCTGTCTGTAATGCAGCAGCAGCTCATCACAGTAAAAAGTGAAAATATTAAGAAGTTTTGCTTAGCCTCTCAAATACAGGTGAAAGAGAGGTATCACTTTTCTGACAAGAGTGTCATCATTTTAAGCATTAGTATAAATAGTTTTGTATTTAACTGTTCTCCTGATTCTTATGATCAGTCATGGAAAATGCATTTTTATGCATTGACTTTGCTGGTCATATTGAATCAGGTAAAACAGCATTCTGTGGAATTCTTTTTGTGCTCCTAATGTTGCTAGGGCATCTTGAATTGGTCCAGTCTGTCTGTCTCAAGAAGCTTGTTGCTAAATTTCAAAAAAATACTTCTTGATGTAGACAAATCAAACTTTCCTGACATGTTTCTGTTCATATGTAAATGAACTAAGTTGATTTTCCACCATATTTGAATGTTTTTTTGGATTTTATAGTTGGTTTATATAATTACTTTTTACAAAATATCATTCTCAAAACCTTGAGTGCATGGTCATGCCAAAAAACCACATGACCTTGATGTTGGCAAATTTAGTTTGTTTTGTATGGTTATGTACATAACTAGATTTTTTTATGTTGTTAAATTTTGGTGATGGCTTGATACAATTTTGGGTTTTTATGTAAATAGACTGTTTTCATCACACTGGGGGCATCAGTGTGTTACAAAGACTAGGATAGCTTGTGTATTTCTTAAGAAGTGTTTGCTTGCTAATACAAGATCATGAGCATACAGTATAATTTTTATTCAACATTTTTTCATATACAGTCTTATCATGATGGAGTATCATTCTTAAAATGTGTTTTGCACACTCACAATTCCACTAGTATCTTATCTGGTACAAGAAAGGAATGCTTTATGCTAAATTTGATCTAAAGGATAAAACTTTTAAATCTCACACAGCAGTTCTTATTTTAGAGCCATCATTAATTGAAAAGTGATAGATTTGGACTAAAATTTTTCTACCACTACTTCTGGTATTATGTTCTCTTCGATGTGAACAGTTTATTTAGATTTGGTTAAAGTTTTGCATTTGCTTATTAAACCCCTAGATGGATTCTTTAAACCTCCATGAGGATTCTTTTAAATCTCTTATACATATTCTTTTAAATCCCTGGGATGATTCATTTAAAACCCTATGTGGATTCTTTTTAAATCCCTGGATGGATTATTTTAAACTCATGTGTTAAAGACTTTCGTTTCACATTATTGACCTTGAGATTTCATTAGGTCTGCAGCAAAATGGCCTGTTCTCCCTCCCTGCTGCTTGGATGAAGTAAAATGTGCAAGTCATAGAAAGCAATTTCTAAATATTATGTGATAGAAGACATAGTCTAAAAATGTCAGAAGCATACAGGACAATTGTTTGAAACTCAAAAAGCACATTAACATCAAGGATACTTTCTAGCATAACTCATTTTTGTGAAAATATGAAAAAAGCAGAAAAGCAAATAAAACTTATGATGCCACAATTACATAAAAATATAAATAATCAAATCTGCAGTCCTATAAATGGATTATTGAAAAAACTAAAATGTTACTGGTTATATTAAGTTATGCATGGTGCCATGCATGTTCATGGTTGAAAGAAAGGGTTAATTCATATATTGAATTGAATGCTTCATTGTGCTGTTTATGAATATTTATAGTAATGTTTTCTTGGCAATAATAAAATTAGTACAAATAGTATGGTATGAAATCACTTGCCTATTTGCTCCAACTTACATGCTACAGGGAATAGCTTAGTAATCCTTTTAACTCCTATTTTAAACTTTCAGAAAAAACGTAAAATTAAAATGGTAGCTGATAAAGCATTTTTACTGATTTGCAATTACAAGACTGTAATCTCATTACAACTATCAGTTAAAATTAATTACAATGTATAGTTTCATCTTTGCTTTTTTTTCAATCATATGGCCAGAATACATGTACCTGCATTCATTAAAAACGCTTTCAGATATCACTAAATAGGTGTACATATTTCTATACATGTTCAAAATGTGTTTATAATATTAGAACAAAGTCATAAAACAGATTTTTTTAACTTGAAAATAAAGTACTTCTTAAAATCAATCTTTAAAGCATACTGATAAATAGGGGACATAATTCAAAAAAGCAAATAAAAACAAGCAAGTATATATATATATATATATATATATATATATATATATATATATATATATATATATATATATATATATATATATATATATATATATATATATATTGTATTTCATTCTCTGCTTCATATTTTTCCTGTTCAGCTCCCACTTCTTGCTCAGTTCAAAAATAGAGGTCCCTAAAATTCAAGTCTAGCTTGACCCTTTATGAGCATGCTATCATGGAATTGCTGAGTCATTGTTAGGAATTTCTCTGGGTAACCAGAGCTCACCCTGTGAAAGGCTTTTTTCAAGTTGATGAATGTCATGTAAAGGTTGGAGTTCCATTTCTAGCATATCTCCTGAGTTGATGAGCTATAAAATCCATGCCTGTGATCTTTTGTAATTCATTCCTGAAGCCATAATGCTGATGCCTTTGATTGATGCATTTGGCAGCTATTGACTGCTAGGAGATGGTTGTCATAGAATTGTCTGCCTTTCTGATTCTACAAGCAGTTGATGGAGGCATATTTGTACTCCAGTTGTATAGTTGCCAGAGACCACATTGACATAAAGAGTTCAATCAGTTTTTGTGACATACGTGAGGCATTTGAAATCAAGAGAGTTACTTACGATTTCAGTCAGCTCTGGAGGATGTGTTGATTTCTACTCTGGACAGTTGTTCACCAATAGTTGAATGAGGATCTTGCTGAAGTGTTCCTTCCATCTTTGAATTATATTTTCTTTGTCAGTGAGCAGTATTGTGCTATCATCTTTCAGCATGGGAGATGGTCATCTTGATTGTATTCAGGACATCCTAGATGTTCTTCATGTCATTCCTGTCTGCATATGACATGATATTATATAGAACTGGATCAACAGATCATGATATTTACACTAAATTAAGTCAAGATTTGGTAACAATAAGTAACTGGTGTAAGTAAAATCAACTTCAAATTAATGATAAAAGGAATGGATGTACAACAGTCTGAAAATGTAAAACTGCTTTTCATTATGACTGACAATATCTTGTGCTGGAAAATACAATTTGATAAGGTCATTAAAAAGTCAATTTACTGCTTTATCTCTTGATCAGAATAAAATCATATCTCCTTCAAGAACAAAGAAAGATATTCTGCAAAACATATATCATGCCACACCTAGAATATTGTTGTTCTATCTGGTGTAATAGTGGTACAGACAATCAGGAAAGATCAATGAAATTTAAAATTAAGGTAGGTAATTTGTTTTCTTTTATATATATATATATATATATATATATATATATATATATATATATATATATATATATATATATATATATATATATAAATAGATGCAATAAACTTACGACGAACAGTACAAAACTAGTAACTAACTAGCCTAAGTGCTTTCGACTCTTAATGAGTCTTTTTCAAAGGCAAATACAAAACATATATATGATAAACAAATAAACACAAAAATGTTGTGTTTGTAAACCTCTACATGGCTGTCTTCACCTGTGCTAAAACTATAAATACAACCAGCTTGTATAGACTAGATGCGGAAACTGAAAACGTTGTGTAATTCCCTAAAAGTCTACAAGCCAAAGCGACATCTATTTTTACTTTTTGTACATATGTAACGCAGATTATATCCCGGATATTTGATTCTATACCAGTTATTCTTATAGTAAAAATTGAAGGATAATAAGAAGATTTAGAAAATGTTAAATTTTACTAGTGCATAGTTTTCATTTTCTAGTCTTCTTGGTTTAGACCGCTTGGTTTCAATGTTCTAAGGCGGAGTATCCAGTATGATTCCTTTTCCTTCCTGGTTTCAGAACTCCAGCTGAAGTGGAATCATAGTATGCAGTGGAAATTATTTTACTTGTAAATGATTTGTTTAATTAAAGAAGTGCAACAGAAGGATTTTATCATCAGATTCTCATTCCAAGTGTTATGCATAATATAGTACATAATCAGGAATGAAGGTTCATAATTGACTTAAATAAAATGCTACTTTCAAAATTCAGTTTAACTATAATTTGATTTTTTATTTGTTTGTGTTGTTATTGTTTTTGATTTCCTAAGAAATGGTGTTTTGCTATTTTATTATTTTCAAATTATCTTCTTCCTTTGCATTTAAAAATAATTAAATTACAAGTATCTGCACAGGTTATAGACATACCCTTTAATACATGGTTGTGCCAAGCAGTTATTCTTATTTTCTCTATCACACATTTATTTAGGGCAACTAATTGGAAAGTTTGCCCATGGCAAAAAATACAATTTTATTCACTTCTTCTGTGTTGCAATCATCGAATGTGGATCAGCAAGGCATTAGTGTAAACTCTGTACACTAAAGAGCTCAAAAAGAAAGGGCAGATAATGAGGTTACGGAAATGGGCTATAATGTTTTACACATGTTCACTATTTGTATGAATCTAGTATATACTCATCCTTAAAGCCATATGCATATTTTATTGTAGCAATAGAACAATTATGTAATTTTTAATAGCATTTGTTATCTCAAGACAGTCCTCATCTTGTAAAGAGTGTGCATTACCCGTATATATTAATGTACACATAAAATTTTAGACATCTCACTGAAGTTTGGTCAGTTG